AGGGTTGCGATCCCATTGCCAGTCCCCGGTACGGGCATGACACCAAGGGTTGCGATCCCGTGCCGGTCAGTAAAAAAAAAGATAAAAAGGAAAAAAAAAATAATAAAAGAAAAGGCAAATCTGTAGAGACAGAAAGATTAGTGGGCAAGAGAAGTGACTGCAAATGGTTGCAAAGGATCTTTTGGAGTGAAAGAAATGTTTTACAATTGGATTGGGGTGATGGTTGCACAATTCTATAAATATACTAAAAGTTGTACCCTTAAAACAGCTTTATTAAAGCTGTTATTGGAAAAAAAAGAACCAGTCATGAATTGGACAGTAATCAATGCACTGTTAATGAAAGAAACTGATTAGATAGAATACTTTTGAAGGGCAGTATGGCAATGCCTATAGAGACTNCCTTCAGATTAACAGTTAAATAAAATGAAATTTTCTGAGGTAGCAAAAATGAACCGCACTTTATAATTAGCATTTTGTGAAAGTATTATACCAGTAGCCTTTGCATTGCTGCAGTGAGGGAAAGGTAGCTCTTAAAAGTTTTAGAATATTGGACACCCTTCCACAACCAGGCACCCGCGCCAGTGCATTGGGGCCTGCCCTGGGACCCAGAGTATGGAGCTGGGGACTGTACTCCCCTCCCACAACCAGGCACACTGTGCCAGCACCTCAGGGCCCACCCAGGGACCTGGGACATGGAGAAGGGGACTGTACTCCCCTCCCACAACCAGGCACACTGCGCCAGCACCTCGGGGCCTGCCCTGGGGTCCTGCGTATGGAGCTGGGACCAGACCCCGCTCCTACAACCAGGCACACCACACCAGCACCTTGGGGACTGCCCTGAGACCCAGGGCATGGAGAAGGGGACCAGACCCCCTCCCACAACCAGGCACACCGTGCCAGCACCTCAGGGCCCACCCTGGAACCTAGAAAATTAAAAAGGGGACCAGACCCCCCCCTCCCACAACCAGGCACACTGTGCCAGTGCCTCAGGGCCCACATGGGGACCCAGGGTATGGAGAAGGGGACCAGACCCCCCTCCCACAACTAGGCACACCGCGCCAGTGCATCAGGTCCCTGTCCAGGGGCCTGAGGCATGGAGAAGGAGATTGGACCTCCCTCCCACATCCAGGCATACCTCTCCAGTGCCTCGGGGCCCGCTCGGGGTCCTGGGGCATGGAGAAAGGGACCAGATCTCCTTCCCACAACCATGCACCCCTGCCAGCACCTTGGGGCCTGCACTGGGACCCAGGGTATGGAGAAGGAGACCGGACCCCCCACACACACAATCAGGCACACCACATCAGCGCCTCTGGGCCTGCCCTGGGACCCGGGGCATGGAGAAGGGGACTGGATCCCCTTCCTACCACCTGGCACACACACCAGTGCCTTGGGGCCTGCCCATGGACCTGAGGCATGGAGAAGGGGACCAGACACCCACCCACAACCAGGCACCCTGCACCAGCACCTTGGGGCCCACCTGGGGACCCAGGGTATGGAGAAGGGGACTGGACCCCCCACTCCCACAACCAGGCTCACTGTGCCAGTGTCCCGTGGCTTC